AAAGGAAAAAAGAAAACAGGGGTAGTAACACTCAGACCAGACAAAACAGCCATTGAAACAAAGTCTATATAACGAAAGACAAAGGAGGGTACTATATAATAATAAAGAGATCAGTACAAGAAGAGGATACTACACTCATTATCACATATGCACCAATACAGGAGCACCTAAATATATAAAGCAAGCATTGGTTAAAAAGGGAGAAATTGACAACAATACAGTGACAGTAGGGGACAATAATACTCCACTTACATCAATGGACAGATCATTTCAGGAAAAAAAAACACCAGTAAGGCATAGTCTTGAATGACACAATAAACCAGTTGGACTTAATCTATGGGATAGGCCATCCAAAACACAGCAGAATATACATTCTTTAAGTGCACATAGACATTCTCCAGGATAGATGGCATGCTAAGCCATGAAACTAGTCAACAAATTTGAGAGCACAGAAATTATATCAAGCATGTTTTCAACCACTTTATGATATGAAACTGTAAGTCAATTATAGAAAGAAAAAAGAAAAAGTGGAGACTAAACAACATGCACTAAAAAAAAAAACCAAACAAAAAAAACAAAAACACACAATGGGTCAGTGAAGAAATCAAAGAGGAAATTCAAAAATACAAATGTGACAAATGAGAATGGAAACCAACTTTCCAAAATCTATGGATGCAGCAAGAGCAGTTCTAAGAGAGGTTTACAGAAATACAGACCTAGCTCAAGAAATAAGAAAAAGTTCAAATAAACACCTAGAGCTACCATCGAAAGGAATTTTCAAAAGAACAAAGCCCAAAGTTAGCAGAAGAAAGGAAGTAAGATCAGAGAGAAACTAAATATAATAGAGACAAAAAAAAAAAAAAAAAAACCCAACAGAAATGGTCAATGAAACTAAGAGCTATTTTCTGGAAATAAACAAAATTGATAAACCTTCAGCCAGGCTCATTGAGAGAGAGGACTGAAATAAAACAGGAAATGGAAGAGGAGAAACCACCGCCAGCACCACAAACATACAAAGAAAAAACAAAATCAGAGAATGCTATGACCAGTTATACTAACAATTGAAACAACTTAGAAGAATGGACAAGTTTCTAGAATCATACAACCTGCCAAGACAGAATCAGGAAGAAACTGACCATTTGAACTGACCAATCACTAGTAGTGAAACTGAATTTGTAGTAAAAGCTCCCAGCAAAAAAAAAAAGTCTAGGACCAGATGGCTTCACAGCAGAATTGCATGTAAGTAGAGCTAATACTTTCCTTCTGAAACTATCCCAAAAAATTGAAGAGGATGAACACTCCCAAATTCATTGTACAAGGCCACCATTACCCGGATACCAAAACCAAACAAAGACACCACAAAAAGAAAATTACAGGCCAATATCTATTACAATACAGATGCAAAAAGCTTCAAATTAGCAAACTAAATCCAACAATATACAAAAAGGAACATACACTCTGATCAAGCGGGATTTACTTCAGGGATGTAGGCATGATTTAATATTCACAAAATCAATGTTGATACCACATTAACCACATTCACCACATTAACAAAGGATAAAAATCACATGATCATCTCAATAGGTGCAGAAAAAGCATTTGACAAAATTCAACATTCATTCGTGATAAAAAAAAAAAACTCTCTAACATGGTGTAGAGGGAACATTATCTCAACATAATTCGGGTCATTTGTAACAAACCCACAGCCATCATCCTGCTCAATGGTGAAAATCTGAAAGCCTTTCCTCTAAAATCAAGATCAAGACAAAAATGCTCCCTCTTTCCACTTCTATTTAACTTAGTATTGGAAGTCCTATCCATAGCAATCAGACAAGATAAAATGCATCCAACTTGGAAGGGAAAAAGTAAAACTGTCACTATTTGCAAATGACATGATATTATACAAACCTTAAAGTCTCTACCAAAAAACAATTAGAATAAATGAATTCTGTAAAGTTGCAGGATACAAGATTAATATACCTAAATCTATTGCTTTTCTATTCACTAATAATGAACTATTAGAAAGAGAAAGCAAAAAAAGATCACTTTTAAAATTGAATCAAAAAGAATAAAATACCTAGGAATAAATTTAACCAAGGATGTGAGAGACTTAACACTCTTAAAACTATAAAACACTGATAAAGGAAATTGAAGATGATAAAAAGGGAAAGACAGCCCATGCTCTTGGACTAGGAGAATCAATTTTATTAAAATGGTCACACTACCCAAAGCAATCTGCAGATTTAATGCAATCTCTATCAAAATAACCAGTATAGTTTTCATAGAACTAGAACCAATAATCCTAAAACTTCTGTGGACCAACAGAAGACCCCAAATATTCAAAGTAATCTTGAAAAAAAGAACAAAGGTGAAAACACACTCCCTGAGTTCAGACTGTACTACAAAGCTACAGTAATCAGAAGAGCACGGTACTGGCACAAAAACAGACACATGGGTCCAAGGAACAGAATAGAGAACTCAGAAATAAACCTAAGCACTTTTGGTCAATCTACGACAAAAAAGGCAAGAATATACAATGGGGAAAAGATAGTCTCTTCAGTAGCTGGTGCTGAGAAAATTGGAAGCTACATGTTAAAAAATTAGCTTAGAGTATTTCTTCATACCATCTACAAAAATAAACTAAAAATGCATTGAACACCTAAATGTAAGACCTGAGACCCTAAAACTCTTGGAAGACAATATTAAGCAGAGCACTCATTGACTTAAGTTGTGGCAATATTTTCTGTGGTCTCCTAAGGCAAATAAAATAAAAGCAAAAATGAGCAAATGGAACCTCATCAAATTTAAAAGCTTTCTACACAACAAAGGAAACTTTCAAAAATATGAACAACCTGCTGAATGGGAGAAGATATTTGCAAATGATATGACCAATAAGAAGTCAATATTCAAAATAAACAAACAGCTTATACAACTGCATATCAAAAAAAACCAAACAGCTCGATTAAAAAAAAAATGGGAAGACCTGAATAGAATTGTTCCCAAAGACATATAGATGGCCAACAGGCACATGAAAAGATGCTCAGCATCCCTCATCACGGAAGTGCAAATCAGTACCACAATGAGATATCACCTCACAACTGTCAGAATGGCTATCATCAAAAAGTCTACAAGTAAATATTGGCGAGGATGTGGAGAAAAGGGAATCCTGGTATACCGCTGGTGGGAACGCAGACTGCTGCAGCCTTTATGGAAAACAGTGCAGAGGTTCCTCAAAAAACTAAAAATGGAACTACCAAATTATCCAGCAATTTCACTCCTGGGTACGTATCAAAAAAACAAAAAAAAATACAAACCCCAGAAAATACTAATTCAGAAGGATACATGTATCCCAATGTTCATAGCAGCATTTTTTACAACTGCCAAGATACAGAAGCAGTCTAAGTGTCCAATGATGATGAATGGATAAAGATGTGGTATATTACTTGGACATTAAAGTGAATGAAATTCTACCATTTGCAACAACGTGGATGGACCTAGAGAGTATTATGCTTAATGATGTAAGTCAGAGAAAGACAAATACAGTATGTTATATTTATATGTGAAATCTAAAAAATATAACAAATGAATATATACATGAAAATAGAAATAGACTCAGATACTGGGGACAAACTAGTATTCACCAATGGGGAAAGGGAATGGGGAAGGACAAGGCTGGGAATTAAGAGGTACAAATTACAAACTACTATGTATAAAATGAGCTACAAGAATATATTGTACAGCACAAGGAACATAGCCAAAGTATTTAAAGTATTTTATGATTACTTTCAATTGAGTATTATCTATAAAAATTTCAAATTACTACATTGCATATCTGAAAATATTATTTATCAATTACACTTCATTTAAATATTAATTTGATATTGCAAACCCTTGAAAGGGTCTTAGGGGCTCCTGAGGAGTCCTTGGACGAGACACGGAGAACCACAACAGAGGACAAGAGAGACTGGGGTCTCAATACAGCTGCATGGAATAGAACCTTCTAACCGCATCCCCTGACCCCAGACCGCCTACCAACATATACCTTCATGTGAATGATAAATAAATCTTGTATCTTTAGTAAGACACTGTACTTTGATCTTCATTTATGCAGTCGAACCAACATCCTAAGACAATCATTTGACTGGCAGGGCTGTTTTTCTTATAACAGTTAAGAATGAAGTGATACTTCTTGCATGAAGTGTGAGCTAAAAGTGGGAAATAAACTGTAGATTTAGAAAGCCTCCACTATCAAAATAAATGGGAGGAAGTGCATCTCCCTATGGAAGTTAGGAACGTTTCCAAGCTTTCAGACCTGAAGGGTGCCTGTTTCATTTCATCTTGTCCACTTTGCTCACTTGTGACACTGGCTGGTCTCAGTATGTCAGTGAGTCAGTGAAGAGCTAGTCCAAGTTGTTTGGCAGGGAAGTGATCAGAGCAATGCTTCAGAAAGATCAATCTGACAGCCCTGGGAAAGTGGATCGGAAGGAGAGAGGCTGGCAATGGGGGAGCTGGGCAGATGTAAGGCTACCATACGATTCCAGAAGAATGAGTCTGGATTAGGTCAGTGGAGGAGAGCAGGAAGGACAGGGTAGATTGAAAGTATTAATGCCTGGATCACGGTTCCTACACTGTTACATTACCAAGAACCATGACACTAAGCACAGCCCAACTCTGCACACAGACTATTCCTCAGTATGGCTTGTTTTCAGGACCCTCCCTGCCTGCTAGTCTGAATTATGTAGCAACATTCAAATCTTTTCCAAGACTGCCTAAAGCTGATCCCGTGTTTTCCCCCCAGAGCCCAATTACCTCACACTCCACCTCCCTGCACTCAGGGACCTGAAACAGACAGCACACTTGGCCACATTACACCTCTCAGTAGGTGGCAGATGCAAAAGAGCTGCCGCTTTCAGGCTGTTTGTATTATAATCCCACCCAGTTCGTGCCTCCCTGTCCTGAGAAGGAACAAGGGGGTCATTGTCCCGGGTCATATTCCTTACCTGTGTCCAGGGTATTCCTGATGGCTCTTTGAATTTATCATAGGTCCTCCTTTCTGAAGTCTGGAATGAAACAGTAGAGTGTGCACTCAGCAATAAGAAGAGAAATAGCTAACAGGTACAGATCACTTACAATGTGCAGGTACACCTTTAAGGGCTTTAGACACATGAAGCTGTTTAGTTCTCATAGCAACCATGTAAGACAGATGCTAGTATCATCCCCATGTTACAGCTGAGGGAACTTAAGCACAGGATGTTGAATAACTTGCTAAGGTTTTACATCTAACAACTAAGGAGCTTGGATTTAAACCAGGTCATGTGTCTCCAAAAGCCTGTAGCCTTAACCATGGCACTCTGCCATCTCAAATACGGTGCCCAGGGTTCAAGCCTGGGTTCTGGAGGACAGCCATTTCTAAGAATGTAAGCAAGAGAGAAGGCAGGGAGGGCTTGATATTATGCACCTGTTCACAGCACCTAATACCCAAGCAAAGACAACTGGAGAAAAATCCATTTGATACTCTTCCTGTGCCTTTACATCACATGCCCAAATTCATCGGGTCTCCTGTGCCAGAGATACGATGGAATCGGTTACCAGTCTAAAGTGATGAGTCTGGAGTGCTGGACTGCTGGTTTTAAATCCCATCAGAAGCTTTCATTCATAACCCACTGAATGGAAGGGAGACGTGTTCCCAGTTCTAGGCTGCTACTGCGCTCCTAATCACACACTCGAAGAATCTCTCACCAGGACCAACACCTTGGTGCATGCAGAGCCTTACCTGTGTGCTCTGAGGAAGCTGGCAGAGTCCTCAACTCTGTCTTCATCCCGGAGCTGCCTTTAGGCAGAGTCCTTGAATCTCCAGGTTCTATCAATAGATGAGATAATTTGGCAGTTGGTCAAAGGTCAGCCATGTGTTTTTTTCTTCTGTTTTTTCTTCCAGGATGATTAAGTTTTTATTTGTTGAATCCATGTTTATGCCCTCTGCACCCAGGCTAACTTTTTTGGGGGGTGGGGGAGGGTAGATAATTAGGCTTAATTTTTTAGAGGAGGTACTGGGGATTGAACCCAGGACCTCGTACATGCTAAGCATACCACTTGAACTATACCCTCCCCACCAAGGCCAACTTTTTACATTTTTAAAATACCAACTCAAATCTTACCAACACTGTTACCTTTTCCTTCTGCAACACGCAAAATCTCCTTTCTGGGGTTTTCACAGCACCTTGACTATACTTTAGCACTTACTAAACTGCACTGTAACTGTTTAAATACTTGTTTAAAAAGTAAGCCTCTCTAAGACAAAGTTTTACCTAGCCAGGTTTGTTTTGTCTGACGAACAGTAAGCGAACACTCCGACACCGAGGTTTGCGAACAAAGAGAGGGTTTACTCACAAGGCAGCGGAGCCAGGAGACATTAGACCAGATCGCAAGTCGGCCGCCTTGTATGCAAGG